ACTTCCCCATGCATATTAGCAGGGAACTGGATTGGAAGTGGAACAGCCGGGATTCAAACCAGTGCCCATATGGGATACCTGCGCTGCAGGCTGGGGCTTTAACCCACTGTGCCATAGCACTGACCCCAAATGCCCTTTTTCATCTTTTATTTTAAAGTAATTTTTTTAGATGTTTGCTTATTTTATTCAAAAAGCAGGGAGACAGAGGTCTTCATCTGCTGGTTCAGTCCAAATGCCTGCAACAGTGAGGGCTGGGCCAGACAGGCTGGAAAGCTGGGAACTCAGTCAAGGTCTCCTGTATGGGTGGCAGGGAGCCAACCCCTGGAGCCATCACTTGCCTGCCTCTCAGGGTCTGCATTAGCAGGAAGCTGGAATTGGGAGCAGCCCTGGGATATGGAATGGGGGTGTCCCAGGCAGTATCTTAACCTCTGTGCCAAAAACTGGCACCCACTTCTCATTTTCAGACATCCAGTTCTTCCTGCTCATGGATTCCCTCGCCTTACCCTTTCCCCTTGTTTGACCTGATCTGAGAAGACGAATTTGACATGTTTGTGACTCTTGGTAGGCTTGCATTCATTCCTGTCATTTTTGTTTTGTATTTACTTTTCTTCCTTGTTTTTGAATTGATTGATTTTTCTTTGGTTGTTTCAAAGCATTCCCCCCTCCCACCCCCTTCTTTGGGAATTATCTGTAGCTTTTTAGCACATTTTTAACAGTCACTTCTCTGTTCTTACCTAGAATTAATTAGAATCTATCTTTTCTTTTTCCCACCAAGACAGAACTGCTGCTTGCTTTCACTTCCTCCTTCTTTCTTTCTCTTCCCTCTTCGACTTGAAATTATGTAAGTATTTTAGTTCCAGATTGCTTGTTTTTTCCAAAAGTCAGCATATACTGGTTCCTCTGCTCATGCATAAAAACATTTCTTATAGCTCTTGGGTATTTTTGAATTATGTTGGTGTGCATCTACTAACTATTTCAGAGAAGGTCTTTGAGTAGTGAAAAATGAGCCTTGTCATGTGTGAAAATTTCCTTTGTACTCCCCCTTGAAAGAGGGTCTGGCCAGATTTATGTTTCATAATCTTTTTCTTTAAACTTTGAAGCCAGTGCTCCTTTGCCATGTAGCATTTGTTGCTGATGAAAAGTCTGATGTTTTTCCTTACGTGATTTGTGTGCTTTTGTAAGAGACTGTTTCCTCAGAGTTTTCTGAATTTCAGTAGGATGTCCACAGGCCTTCCCCTTCTCTACTAATGGTTTTCGTTTAGTTTCAACCTGATGAGTCCTGTCTTCCCTCTCCCCTGGGAAATTTCTAGAGCTCATAAATAGTAGATGCTGGACTTCATTCTGTATTTCTGCTTTTCCTTGTATTTGAAAGGCTTTTGGTAGTTTCTTAGTTTTGTTTTCCATTTGTGTTCTTGTGCCTGTGCCCATCTTGCTATAATGGTATCTGTTGAGCTTTATTTTGGCAATCCTTTTTCTCTTTCCCTTATAAAAGTGTTTTTATCAATGTATAATTTATTTTTTAAAGATTTATTTATTTGAGAGGTAGAGTTAGACAGTGAGAGGGAGAGACAGAAAGATCCTGCATCCATTGGTTTACTCCTCAAATGGCCAGAGCTGTGCCGATCCGAAGCCAGGAGCTTCTTTGGGTCTCCCATGTGGGTGCAGGGGCCCAAGTACTTGGGCCATCTTCTGCTTTCCCAGGCCACAGTGGAGAGCTGGATTGGGAGAGGCGCAGCCAGGACTAGAACTGGCACCCACATGGGATGCCGGTGCCTCAGGCAGAGGATTAACCTGTGCCACAGCGTCGGCTGCTCAGTGTATAATGTACATAATACATAAATGTACTAGTTTTTAAAGCATACAATTCCATGATTTTTGATAGATAGGGAGAATACACTGGATATTCCCCCTCCCTAAAAGAATCAAGATTTGAGCTACCATTTCAAAATGTTTCCCTACCCTGTGTTGTCCATTCCTGCCCTGGCCTCAGCCTATGATCTACATTCTCAGATAAGGAAATTGTTAGTTTGTATTTTGTAGAGTTTCATTAAATGGGATCACACCCCATGTAACTCTTTGTGTAAGGCTGAGTTTGGAGTTTCAGGCGTGTTCAGTGCACAGTTGTTTATCCTATGGGTTTTGAAAAGTATGTCCCCCCTTAGGAAAATAACATGGATGGATCTTAATTTAAATTTCACCAGTTTTTAATAAACTCTGTATGTGTTTTTAGTTGCAAATAATTTTTTAAAATGATTTATTTGCTTACAAGGTAGAATGACAAAGAGAGCTCTTCCATCTGCTGGTTCACTCCCTAGATGGCTGCAACAGCGAGGGCGGAGGCAGGCTGAAACCAGGAGCCATGAACTCCATCCTGGTCAGCAGGGACCCAAATAAATAATTGGGCTATCCTCTTCTTCCTTTTTGGCTTATTAGCAGGAAGCTAGATGGGAAATAGAGTATCTATGATTCGAACCAGCACTCCCATTGCAAGCAGTGGCTTAACCCACTGTGCCACAGAGCTGGCCCCTAGTTGTAAATAGTTATATCACATAAGTTAATTCTTATAAACACACTACAGTTTGCAGTCATTTTTTAAAACAGTGTTAGGAGAGGGAGGGGGATCTTCCATCTGCTGTTTCACTCCTCAGATGGCTGGGCCAGGTGGAAGCCAGGGACGACTCCTAGGTCTCCCACGTGGGTGCAGGGGCCCAAGCACTTGGGCCATTCTCTGCTGCTTTCCCAGGCACATTAGCAGAGAGCTGGATTGGAAGAGGAACATTTGGGACCCAAACCCATGCCCCTATGGGATGCCGGCATTGAAGGCTGTGGCTTAACCCACAACGCCAGCACCTCCTTGTTCCTTCTGAGTAACAGCAGCTACCTGAATGCCATCCTGATTCTGCTCCAGTACTTAAGCTTGGTGAAGAGTTTGCCTCTGTTAGGGTGCAAAAAGGGGGTTGCTGTCCAGTTGCATCAGATGCACCCAGAGCCCATGACTGCCCCAGCGTGCTCCTGTTGCCTGGTGGCAGCCGTGTTTCTGGAACATGGCTGGAGTACCACCCTCACTGCTTGCTCTCCTGCCTTCAGAGCCACTCCCGAGTTTTTATTACATTCCTCTTAAGGATCTAGAGTTACTGCCTTTGTCAGCCTAGGTCAGTTGGCAGTATCACTTTTTTTTCTTTAAAGATTTATTTATTTATTGAAAGTCAGAGTTACACAGAGAATGAGAGGCAGAGAGAGAGAGAGGGAGGTCTTTTTTATTTTGTTATTTATTTTTTAAAGATATTTGAGAGGTAGAGTTGCAGACAGTGAGAGGGAGAGACAGAGAGGAAGGTCTTCCTTCCGTTGGTTCACTCGCCAGATGGCTGCAACGGCTGGAGCTGCGCTGATCCGAAGTCAGGAGCCAGGTGCCTCTTCCCAGTCTCCCACATGGGTGCAGAGGCCCAAGGACCTGGGCCATCCTCCACTGCTTTCCCAGGCCATAGCAGAGAGCTGGATTGGAAGAGGAGCAGCCGGGACTAGAACCGGCGCCCACTTGGGATGCCGGCGCCACAGGCAGAGGGTTAACCTGAGCCATGACGCTGGCCTGAGAGGTCGGTCTTCCATCTGCTGGTTTACTCCCCAGATGGCTGCAACGGCCGGAGCTATGTTGATCTGAAGCCAGGAGCCCGAAGCCTCCTCTGGGTCTCCCATATGGGTGCAGGGGCCCAAGCACTTGGGCCACCTTCTGCTTTCCCAGGCCATAGCGGAGAGCTGGATTGGAAGTGGAGCAGCCAGGACTTGAACCAGTGCCCCTATGGGATGCTGGCACTGCAGGCGGTGGCTTTACCCACCATGCCACAGCACTGGCCCCAGTAGTATCACTTCTTATTCCCTAGAATTGTTTGAGGAAAGAATAGTTAAGTATGGCTGGCGCCACGGCTCACTAGGCTAATCCTCTGCCTGCGGCGCTGGCACCCCACTTTCTAGTCCTGATTGGGGTGCCAGATTCTGTCCCGGTTGCTCCTCTTCCAGGCCAGCTCTCTGCTGTGGCCCGGGAGGGCAGTGGAGGATGGCCCAAGTGCTTGGGCCCTGTACCTGCATGGGAGACCAGGAGGAAGCACCTGGCTCCTGGCTTTGGATCAGCGCAGTGCGCCGGCCGTAGCAGCCGTTAGGGGAGTGAACCAATGGAAGGAAGACTTTTCTTTCTGTCTCTCTAATTCTGTCAAAAAAAAAAAAAAAGTTCAATAAATCCCTATCTTCAGTAATTTCTGCAGTTTAGGGAGGAGGTGAAGGCATGTATGTCGTTTTCAGTCCATCTTGGTCCAATCTGCTTGAAGCCACTTACTTGGGGGTGGGGCACACAAGATTTGGGAACAGACATTAAACTCATCAAAACCTTTTCTTTTTAGTACATCTAGGTGTGTGCGTGTTTTAAATGCAACAGTAGGGTGTGTGTGTGTGTGTGTGTGTGTTTTAATTTGAAAGGCAGAACAAGGAAGAGTTCTTCTATCAGTTGGTTCACTTCCCAGATGTCCATAACAGTTGGGGCTGGGCCTGGCTGAAGCTTTTCAGAGAGAAACTGACCCCTGGAGCTCACATGTTCTGTGGGGTTTGGCATTCCTTCTCTCTAGTTCAGCTACTTATACCAGAGCTCTGAAGTCTCAATCCTTTGAGCTGATGAGAAGGATGCATATTTTTATTTCCAGTCTTTGTTTTTCAGCGTTGAGATTCACAAGTAGTTATTTAGTTATTTTAAGGTATCTGATAGTGCAGTTTTGGGCTTAGCTGTACAGGAACATTGAGTTGGTTCAATACTTTGATTTTTTTTTTTGATCTTTGTCCTAGTTTTTTTTATGACATACTTCCAAATTGGATAGAATCATTTCTTTTCCCCCAAACCTTTTTGTTCATCCCTGGGAAACCATAGGGTATGAAGTTTTTAAGTTGCTAATCTAGTATGTGTAAATTTAGCTTTCAGAAAAAAGTTGTTCTGACTTTTCTCTCTCTTCTCCATGTAGTCTTTCCATGGTTTGGCTTGGATATTGGTGGAACCCTGGTCAAGCTGGTTTATTTTGAACCCAAAGACATCACTGCTGAAGAAGAAGAGGAAGAAGTGGAAAGTCTTAAAAGCATTCGGAAGTACCTGACCTCCAATGTGGCGTATGGGTCCACGGGCATTCGGGACGTGCACTTGGAGCTGAAGGACCTGACTCTGTGCGGACGCAAAGGCAATCTGCACTTTATCCGCTTTCCCACTCATGACATGCCCGCTTTTATCCAAATGGGCAGAGATAAAAACTTCTCAAGTCTCCACACTGTCTTTTGTGCCACTGGAGGTGGAGCGTACAAATTTGAGCAGGATTTTCTCACAGTATGCATTTTTTTAGCTTATATACAATTTATGGTGATTTGGTGGTTAAAAATAATACCAACTGCAAGTGGTAGAATCATTTCCATCTCTAATGGAACTTGAATTTTCTTGAGTCAGATGAAGGTTAAATATAGTGATAGGAGTTAGCTGCCTGGAGTGTTGTGTAGTTTGCTTTTTGTCCAGTTTAGATATGTTGACCAGAGTCAGAACCTCTGAAAATAAGCATTTTTAGCATGAAAAAATAATGAATCTGTGATAAACGGAATAAGGAAGTATTTGAGAAACAAGATCATTAAATTATTTTTAAGAATTTGAGAGTGAGAGAAATAGAAATGAGAGTGAGCTCCCTTCCACTGGTTCACTCCCCAAATGCCCGCAGCCCAATCCAGGTCTCCCACGTGGGTGGCAGGAACCCAGTCACTTGGGCCATCACCACCGCCTCCCAGGGTCTGCATTAGCAGGAAGCTGGAATCAGGAGCCAGAGCCAGGAATCGAACCCAGGTACTCTGATGTGGGACATGGGTGTCCTAACCGGCGTCTTAACCTCTAGGCTAAATGCCCACCCCATCGTTAAATCTTGAACAATGAGATGGAAAAATAATTTTATGTCATAGAATTGTTTCCAGTGTCCACACAGTTTCTCTTGTCCCCTTTAGTTGTTTCTCGGCATGTTCACTAATCTACAGATAAGGACCTGGTCAAAACTGGGGTTTCTGGGCCTCAGGGCTGTATGAGATGACTGACAGCAGAGTCGTTCTCTCCCTGAATGCCTTCTGGTGTGTTTCTGCTGTACACTTGTTAACTGGACTCCCTGCCTTGTCTGGCCCCTAGGGGGAGTGCCATGGGCCCTTGCTTTTCCTTTCATTCAGTCAACACTGAGCAAGGCCTTGAGGGTAGGTCCTTTGAGGGTGGTTGTTTGGGTAGGTGGGAGGATTAATAAGTGACTTGGCCATGACCCTGACCTTCAGGGTACAGTACACATCTAAAATGGCTTCAGTGACTATGTTCTTTCTGACACTCTGAGAATGTTGGAGATTCTGCTTTTGTGCTCTACATGTCTTCCTTTTGTCACTTGTGTGCCCTTGTATGGTTTGTGGCCTTGTCTTGTGTCTGACTATTTTTGTAACTGGGCACAGTAATCAAACTATAGAACTGATGTGAGTTATTGAATAGAGTTTTACATTCTTTGGGGTTTTCTTGGTTTTCAGTGGTTTCTTTTCCACCAGTGAGTAAAAGGCGAGGTAGCAGGAGAGAAGGCTCTCCTCCTTCAGGGAAGCCTCTCAGTGGGTTTGGGATCATAACTGGCAGGTGAAGGGGACACCTCTCTCCAGGAGCCTGTAGAGGTGCCTTTTGGAACACATTTGGAAACCATTCAGGCTGTTCCCAGAAGTTCGGTGTTGTGTGGTAATCCAGAGACAGTGTGCAAAGTAGATTTTTATGCTTTTAGAATTGGTTCTTTGGCTGTTGGGGTTTCTTGTTTTTATGAATTAGTGCTGTCCCAAAAAACTATATGAAAAGGAAATGCCTGTCAATTCCTGTTGGTGCATTAGGAGTGACTAACAGTTAAAACGCATGAGAGAATATATATCTTTAAGATTTATTTATTTGAGGGCCGGCGCCGTGGCTCACTAGGCTAATCCTCCGCCTTGTGGCTTCGGCACACTGGGTTCTAGTCCCGGTCAGGGCGCCAGATTCTGTCCCGGTTGCCCCTCTTCCAGGCCAGCTCTCTGCTGTGGCCCGGGAGTGCAGTGGAGGATGGCCCAAGTCCTTGGGCCCTGCACCCCATGGGAGACCAGGATAAGTACCTGGCTCCTGCCATCGGATCAGCGTGGCGTGCTGGCCACGGCGGCCATTGGAGGGTGAACCAACGGCAAAGGAAGACCTTTCTCTCTGTCTCTCTCTCTCACTGTCCACTCTGCCTGACGATAACTGAAAAAAAAAAAAGATTTATTTATTTGAAAGGCAGAGTTAGGGAGAAGGAGAGATAGAGGGAGAGATCTTCCACTGATTCACTGCCCAAATTGCTGCAATGACTGGGACTGTGTCAGGCCAAGGCCAAGAGCTTCTTCTTGGTCTCCCACATGGGTGCAGGGACTTCACTTGGGCTATCCTCTGCTGCATTCTCCCCAGCCACATTAGCAGGGAGCTGGATTGGAAGTGGAGCAGCTGGGGCTTGAACTGGCACTCATGTGGGATGTTGGCATTGAAGGCTGTGGCTCAGCTGGCTGTGCTACAGTGCCAGCCCCAGAGAATATATTTTAAACTTGCCGAGTTTACCTGGTTTCTTTGGTAAGGTGAATCATTTGCTTGTCTGTGCTGCACCTGCATGTTGACTTACTTGGGTTAGTGAAATTACCTATGGATTCAGGCATCTAAGTACAGTCGTGCATGACTGAACAGTGACAGAAGTGTCCTGAGAAAAGTTGTGAGTGATTTCATCACTGTGTGAACAGCATCGAGTATGCGGACTGAGGACTGCAGTGACTCTAGGAGAGACAACTGACTCAAACCCGGTGTCCATCACTGACTCTCGTTTGGCAGCACGTGACGATAGCAGCAAGGCTGATACGTATCAGGAGTAATAGCAGTAGGATGTTTTAGGATGACATGAATTAGGGGAAGGGTAAAAGGAGAAACTGATTTGATATATGTGTCAGAAAACTACTTGGATTCCAACAGGCCACTGTAAAGTAAATTGACCTAGAAGTAAATACTGAAGAAGTCTGCTTGATTGTTTGACTCTATCTTGTAATGAGGCAGTGGCCAGATGACACAAGGACAGTGATTAGTTTGGGTTTGGTCAGAGAAGTAACAATATTCTTAATGCTGAATGACTTATTAAGGATTAAGATTAATGAGGTTACGAACTTTTGCATCCCTCGCAGCGGATGGGAAGGAGATGAGTATAAATGTAATTAAACAGAAGCTGAGTTACATGGGGAGAGCTCGCCAGCTCTCTTGGTTGTAGACGGAGCCAGTGCTTTTGAGGGTGAGGCATCTGCACGTCTGTCACATATGTAAGCATTCAGGTGGGTTAGAAGTACAGAGTCAAATGCAGAAGGCCTTGCCTCTCCAGAGTTGCCTTTGTTAAAGGTTTTAAATTTCTCTGAATAACTGTAAGGGACATAATGTGTACATACATACCATGAGAGTTTAAGAATAGAAATAGGTAAATTGGTTGGTGCCGCAGGTCACTAGGCTAATCCTCCGCCTTGCGGCGCCGGCACACCGGGTTCTAGTCCCGGTCGGGGCGCCAGATTCTGTCCCGGTTGCCCCTCTTCCAGGCCAGCTCTCTGCTGTGGCCAGGGAGTGCAGTGGAGGATGGCCAAGTGCTTGGGCCCTGCACCCCATGGGAGACCAGGAGAAGCACGTGGCTCCTGCCTTCGGATCAGCGCAGTGCACCGGCCGTTGGAAGGTGTTGTTTATTTATTTGAGAGGTAAAGGGAGAGACAGAGGTCTTCCCTTCACTGAAAAAAAAAAAAAAAAAAAAAGTAAATTGTACAGAACGTTTTTTAAAGAAATCAATCTTCATCCGATGTTTTACGGGCTCAAGCACTTGGGCCATCATCTACTGCTCTCCCAGGCCACAGCAGAGAGCTGGATCAGAAGCAGAGCAGCTGGGACTAGAACCTGTGCCCATATGGGATGCCGGCGCCACAGGCAGAGGATTAATGTACTGTGCCTCTCTTCATTCTTAATTGTTTTGCAGTGCCCTATAATATGAATAATAATTTTCATTGTTCTCTATTTAAATAGCAGGAAGTTGATAAAAATAGTTTGAATTTTAATGCTTCTGGTCCATCTCCCCCATGACTGGAAGCATAGATAGTGAAAAATCTTACCTTCCAATTAGACACTTCCAGCCCTTGGGCTTCAGTTGTTAAAGTGTATCTTTTGATACTGCTCCACTGGCTTGAAGATGGTCTTTGGAAGGCAGATGTCACAGTCCTGTGGCTTGCCAGATGTGCCACCAGGTGCTGATAGGGCCACGCCTGCCTCACGGTGACCAGAGGGCTGGTTTCTGCCTGGCAGACTTCGCTGGCTGCTGCAGTGGTTTGTAAGTAGTGTGTGTGTGGGGCTGTGGGGTCAGGAGTCTGATCTGGGCAGCCCATCCCTGTTTGTTGTCCTTAGATCTGTTGTGTGAAGCATGTACGAATAATACAGCTCTGTGAGTGAGCTCTGGTGTGATGTTTAATGTAGAGGGGATGTCTTATTAAATGGAATCTTTATTTCGTTGGCTTGTTAAAAGTTCTGAAAAATTTGTCATTGCAGATAGGTGATCTTCAGCTTTGCAAACTGGATGAACTAGATTGCTTAATAAAAGGAATTTTGTACATTGACTCAGTTGGATTCAATGGACGGTCACAGTGCTATTACTTTGAAAACCCTGCTGATGCTGAAAAATGTCAGAAATTACCATTTGATCTGAAAAATCCATACCCTCTGCTTCTGGTGAACATTGGCTCAGGGGTTAGCATCTTAGCAGTATATTCCAAAGATAATTACAAGCGGGTCACAGGAACCAGGTAAGTGGTTTATGGGAAAGTCATTGCTTATTCTTAATATAACGAGCTAGCTGAGATTTCAAGTGCTGAATAGAACTATATATTCAAGAACCTGTTAACATTTTGTGAAAGAAAAGATTTTTCTGAGAGTATACAAATGTTGTCCCTCTTTGAAAATTCTGATTTCATGACTGACTTTCCTTAAATTGCTATTCAGTATTCTTCTCATGATTGCATTATTACATCAGACTCGTCCTGTAGTCCTTGCTCTCGGATAGTTTATGGTATGCATGTTAGGTATATCAAATAGCTAAAGTTACTGGGTAGCATCTATAAGAAGGAAAGGGAAAAGCTAAGCTTTGAAACTGTAGATTTTATGCATCTAACACACACACGTATGGCCAGGGGATGGCATGAGTTCTAGAAGTTGAGGGACTGGGGCTGGTGCTGTGGCGGAGCGGGTAAAGATGCCGCCTGCAGTGCCGGCATCCCATATGGGTGCCAGTTTGAGTCCCAGCTGCTCCACTTCTGATCCAGCTTCCTGCTATGGCCTGGGAAAGCAGAAGATGGCCCAAGTGCTTGGGACCCTGCACTCACATGGGAGACCCAGAAGAAACTCTTGGCTTTGGATTGGCACAGCTCCGGCTGTCACGGCCAATGGGGGAGTGAACCAGCGGATGGAAGACTTCTTCCTCCCTCCCTCCCTTCTCTCTGTGTAATTGACTTTCAAATAAATAAATCTTTAAAAAAAAAAAGTTGGAACTGATCAATGGAATAATGACTGGAGTAGGGTATTTTGAAAGGGAAGAATAGATGGATGAAGAATATGAATATGGTTTAAGGGTCAGAGGTTGCTTGAGGGGGGGAAAAAAGGGATCTGAAGATTAGGGTAAATGATTTTTTTTTTTTTTTTTTAATTTGAAAGGCAGAGTTAGAGAGGCAGAGAGAGAGGTCTTCCATCTGCTCGTTCACTCCCCAGATGGCTGCAACGGCTGGAGCTGGGCTGATCCAAAGCCAGGAGCTTCTTCAAGTCTCCCACGTGGGTGCAGGAGCCCAAGGACTTGGGCCATCTTCTGCTTTCCCAGGCCATAGCAGAGAGTTGGATCAGAAGTGGAGCAGCCAGGTCTCGAACTGGCACCCATATTGGATGCCGGCACTGCAGTCAGCTGATTTACCCACTAAGCCACAGCAGTGGCCCCAAATAAATGTTGTAATAGGTGTGAAAGAATGAGAGAGGTTAATTTTGTGGGTGAAGTGGAGGAGTCCAGCGTTGGGGAGCTGAAGACCCAGGGTGACAAGGTGCCTGGGTGCGAATGACTGGAATGGATTTCGTGGAGGGAAAGGGAGGGAGCCTGCATGACTCTAGTAGGGGTTTTGGGCTGTCTGTGCCCAAGGCTCTTCATACTCAGCAGGCACCCAGGCTGTACAGGGACGTGGGCAGGGAGTCGGGCCCTGCATTTTGCCACCTTGCTTGTTGGCGCACATGAGTCTGTCTTCAGGGCATATATCAGGTAACTATCTTTATATAATTTTTGCAGACTTGTTTGCTCCTGGTGGCATCTTTGTCGTTGGGTTGGATTGATATGATTTGGGGTTCATAAATGTTACCTTCATATTTCTGTATTTTAAAATGTTACAGAATACTGTGGTGTTTGTTTTTAATCACAGTCTTGGAGGAGGAACTTTCTTTGGTCTCTGCTGTCTTCTTACTGGCTGTACCACTTTTGAAGAAGCTCTTGAAATGGCATCCCGCGGAGATAGCACCAAAGTGGATAAGCTAGTACGAGACATTTATGGAGGGGACTACGAGAGGTTTGGACTGCCAGGCTGGGCTGTGGCTTCGAGGTAAGGGTGTGTGTATGTGTAAATACAAGACTAAAATATTGGGCTTATCATTTTTCTTTTAAACTGTTTTATTGAGGTAGAATTTACATACTATAAAGTCGTTTGTTTAAAGTATCCAATTTAGTGGTTTCTAGTGTATTTACAGAATTTTGCGGTTATCACCATAACCCAATTCCAGAACATTTTTGCCATCCTAAAAGGAAACCTTGCAGCATCTTAGCAGCTGCTGCGCATTGCTCCATCCCTAGCCCTGGCAAACACCATTCTACTTTCTGTCTCTGTAGGTTTGCATGTTATGAATATTTCATATAAATGTTTTATATATAAATATTTTCATATAAACATATAAATAGTAGGCTTAAGCAAGTTCATAGAAAACTTGCATACAAATTAAAAAAAAAAATTAGATGTCCCGTCCACTGGTTTACTCTTAGGGCCTAGGAGCCAGGAACCCAATCCAGATCTCCTACATGGGTGGCAGGGACTGAACTACTTAATTAATTACTTTTTATTTTGCTTGAAAGTCCGAGAAAACCAAAGATGATCTAGCCACTTGATCGCTCCCCAGGTGCCTACAATAGCTGAGGCTGGGCCAGGTTGAAGCCAGGAGCCCAAAATTCAACCTGGGTCTTCTATGTGGATGGCTGGGATCCAAGTAGTTAAGCCATTGTTTACTGCCTTCCCAGGGTGCACAGTAGTGGGAAGCTGGATTTGGAAGCAGAGCTGGGACTTGAACCTAGACACTGATCTGGGATGCAGGTTCCTAGGTGGTGCCATCTTTACCACTGTGTCAGATGCCTGCTCTTGTCTATGCTGGTCCATTCCTTGAAGGCCCTCAAGGGCTAAGGGCTTAGGGCTTGGCTATGCCTGAAGCTGGCAGTTCAATCCAGGTGTCCCATGTAGGTGGCAGGAATCCAATTACTTGAGCCTCCCAGGGTCTACCTTAGCAAGAAGCAGGAGCCAAAGAGATAGAGCCAGGAAATGAATGCAGGTACTCCAGTGTGGGACGTGGGCATCCTAACATCTAGGCTACATACTTTTCTTGGCTAATTTTTTAGGTGGAGTGACTTTATTAGTGGGTGGCAAGAGTCCTCTTATCAGCTGTGTAACTTGTAAATATCTTCTCCTGTTCTGTTGGGTGCCTACAACTTCCTTCATGGATGATTTTGTAGCGTACAGGTTTTTAATTTTGATGAAGTCCATTTTTCTTTTAGCACTTTTTCTTGAAGACTTATTTATTTGAAAGGCAGGGTTACAGAGAAGCAGAGAAAGAGAGCGAGTGAGCGCAGAGTGAGGTCTTCCATCTGCTGGTTCACTTCCCAGATAGCTGCAATGGCCAGAGCTGTGCCAATATGGAGCCAGGAGCAGCTTCTGGGTCTCCCATGAGGAGCCAGTGCTACGGCACAGCGAGTAAAGCCACCGCCTGCAGTGCTCAGCATCCCATATGGGCACCAGTTTAGGTCCCGGCCGCTGTTCTTCTGATGCAGCTCTCTGCTATGGCCTGAGAAAGCAGTAGAAGATGGCCCAAGTGCTTGGCCCCTGCACCTGCATTGGAGACCAGGAGGAAGCTCCTGGCTCCTGGCTTTGGATCGGCGCAGCTCCGACCATTGTAGCCATTTGGGGAGTGAACTGGTGGGTGGAAGACCTCTCTCTCTCTCTCTCTCTCTCTTGCTAACTCTACCTCTCAAAATCTTCAAAAAAAAAAATAACTCAGTCCAGGTCTCCTATGTGGCTGGCAGGAACCCAGTGCCCTGAGCCATCACGGCTGCTTCCCAGAGGCTGCAGTAGCAGGTTGCTGGAGTCAGAGCCTGCGTGGGCGTCAGTCTCAGCCACTCTGCCCACGTGGCTCTCCTCCATGAACTTGTTGAGGTACCCTCATAAATAAATCATTGTTTAAGATCATGACTGTACTTCTCTATTTTCTTAAGTTTTATTGCTTTTGCTCTTAATATTTAGGTCTGTGACCTACTTTGAGTTAGTTTTTGGTTATAGGGTGAGGTAGAGGTCCAACTTTATTTTGCCTGTAGGTATCTACCAGTTGCCTAGTACTGTTTGTTGAGGAGTGTTTTTTCCCTATCAAATTATCTTGGTTCCTTTATCAAAACTCTTCAGTTATTTTTTTTCTTTTTTTAAGATTTATTTGTTTGAAAGGCAGAGGGGCAGAGACAGAGAGAGAGGTCTTCCATCCTCTGGTTTGCTCCCCAGATGGCCACAACAGCCGGAGCTGTGCTGATCCGGAGCCAGGAGCTTCTTCCAGGTCTTCCATGTGGCTGCAGGTGCTCAAGGACTTGGTTCACCTTTTGTTGCTTTCCCAGGCTGTAGCAGAGAGTGGGACTGGAAGTGGAGCAGCTGGGACTCAAACTAGCGCCCACATGAGATGCTGGCACTGCAGGCCATGGCTTTACCTGCTACATCACAGCGCCGGCCCTATGAGTTTTAAAATAGGGAAGTCCGAGGCCTCCAACACGTTCTCCCTGTTAAAGATTGTTAAAAGATGAATTTTCGGGGCTGGCGTTGTGGTACAGCAGGTTAATGCCCTGGCCTGAAGCACTGGCATCCCATATGGGTGCCAGTTCTAGTCTTGACTGCTCCTCTTCTGATCCAGCTCTCTGCTATGGCCTGGGAAAGCAGTAGAGGATGGCCCAAGTCCGTAGGCCCCTGCACCCACGTGGGAGACCCGGAAGAAGCTCCTGGCTTCGGATTGGTGCAGCTCTGGCTGTTGCGGCCATCTGGGGAGTGAACCAGTGGATGGAAGACCCCTCTCTCTGTCTCTACCTCTCTGTAACTCTGTCTTTCAAATAAATTAAAATAAATCTTAAAACAGGTTGGCGATGTCTGCAGAAAAGACAGCTTGAAGGGCTGGCATTGTGGCGTATCGGGTAAAGCTGCCACCAGTGGTGCCCATATGCCCAATGGGTCCTGATTTTGCTCCCAGCTGCTCCACTTCTGATCCAGCTCCTGGGAAAGCAGTGGAAGATGGCCCAAGTCCTTGGGCCCCTGCGCCTATGTGGAAGACCTGGAAGAAGCTCCTGGCTGTCGTGGCCATTTGGGGAATGGACCAGTGGATGGAGCATCTGTTTCTTCCTCTCAGTAACTGTGCCTTTCAAATAAATAAAAATAATTTTTTTTTAAAGTCAGCTGGGATTTTTACTAGGTAGTCTGTGGAATTTGTTGGCCAGTTGGGGGAATATTGCCATTCTAACAGTGTCAAGTCTTCTGATTTGGGAAGATGAAGTATCCTTTGTTTATAGCTTTTCTTTTTTCTTTTTATTTATTTGATAGAGAGACAGAGATTCCTTCTATTAGTTCACCCCCAAATGGCCGCTACAGCCGGAGCTGTGCTGATCAGGAGCCAGGTGCTTCCTCCTGGTCTCCCATGCTGGTGTGGGACCCAAGCTCTTGGTCCACCCTCCACTGCCTTCCCGGGCCACAGCAGAGAGCTGGAGTGGAAGAGGAGCAACCGGGACTAGAACCTGGCGCCCATATGGGATGCCGGCGCCACAGGCAGAGGATTAACCAAGTGAGCCATGGTGCTGGCCCCATAGCTTTGCTTTTTTCAACAGTGGTTTTACATTTCAGGATATAAGTGTTACACTACTTTTGTTAAATATATTTCTAAGTGTGTTTTCTTTTTGATGCTGTTATAAATGGAATTTTCTTTAAGTGCTTATTTGTCCATTTTAGGCATTTTTAAAGATCAGTTTATTTGAAAGGCAGAGTTAACAGAAGAGTGAGATCTTCCATCTCCTGGTTCACTCAGCAAATGGCCAGAGGTTGGCTGACCCTAAGCCAGAAGCCAGGATCTTCTAGGTCTCCTTCATTGGTGCAGGGGCCCAAGCACTCAGGCCATCCTCTGCTGCCTTCCTAGGTACACCAGCAGGGAGCTGGACTGGAAGTGCAGCAGCTGGACCTTGAGCTGGAGCCCATATGGGATGCAGGTGCCACAGACAGTGGCTTTAACTGCTGTGCCACAGTGCTGGCCCCTAGACATTTTTTTAAAAAGGTTTTTTATTTATTTGAAAGGCAGAGTTAGGAGGAGAGAGAGATTGTCCATCCATTGTTTCACTCCCCAAGTGGCCACAATGACCAGGGCTGGGCCAGGCTGAAGCCAGGAACCTGGAGCTTCTTTCGGGTTTCCCACATTGGTACAGGGTCCAAAGCACTTGGGCTATCTTCTGCTTTCTCAGGTGCATTAGCAGGGAGCTGGATCTAAAGTGGAGCAGCTGGGTCTCAAACCAGTGCCCACGTGGAATGCGGCATCACAGGTGGAGGTTTAACTTGTTACACCATAATGCTGGCCCCAATTTTAGGCATTCAGTAAATACAGATGTAAATTTTGCGATTGCAGCATTTGCTCAGTGGTCATCACTTCCTGTTCTGATTGGTTGGGTTTGGGCCACAGTTCTGCTGGTGAAGTACTTTATATTCTAGAGAAGTCTAAAATGCCTAAGTTTACTCTGTCTGCACTTTGCTTTGCTCTGGTGGGGCAGTTTAAAAAATAGATGTGAATGTGACCGTCAGAGTAGAATAGCTGGGCTGGCCAATTAGGACTTGTTGATTGTCTTTTTTTGAACCATCTCTGGTTGCTGTGGGCGCACTGGTGCCCTCCAGTGGATCTGAGGAGATCCTAACTGAAGGTGCAGTGTCTGGCATCAAGACTGGATTGCATTAGAAGCCACAGGGAAAAGTGTTTGCTCTTGGAGGATGCTTGAGGGCTGTATTTTAAGTTGCGTTCTCTTTGAGCAGATGCTCCATTGTTGTGATCTTTTGGAGATGAGAACAATGTTGTCCTAAGAGCCAGTTTTATCTCAGTAAAGTAACATCAGGTTCCTTCAGTCTGTGTTCCTTTTGGTAAGATGTCTTGTATTTCCCATTGCAGCTTTGGAAACATGATGAGCAAGGAGAAGCGAGAGGCTGTCACTAAAGAGGACCTCGCCAGAGCGACTCTGATCACCATCACCAACAACATTGGCTCCATAGCGAGAATGTGTGCCCTTAATGAAGTAAGGGGACATGAGTTTCTTTAGTTGCTCTAAGGAAAATCCTGAACTTACTGAGGGGCCTCCATGTCACGTGATGTCTTAACTTCTCCCTTCCAGAACAGTGCCTACATAGTCCTATGAGGTGGGGTTTGTTTAAGGTGAGGTTAAAACTGCAAATGCAGATTAATGTTACTGTTTTGTTTAACTGAAGACGAGCACTGCTGCTACATGGAGTAAAACGGCATCTTTAGGGGAGAAAGCGGAGGATGGTAGTCAGTGTTCCAGGTGGGGACACTTGGGGGCGATGATGGAAGGCGCTGCTGAGTCCAGACTCCGTGCTCATCGCGAACTCTTAGATGCCTTGGGAAGGAATCCAGAGGAAGGCACTGCAGCTGGGAGAAGACCGAGCCGGCGAGGAGTGGCCGCCCTGACCCCCCACCTCAGCAGACTGCGTCTTCGTGCTTTCAGCTTCTTTACAGTGCTGCCTTGTAGCATTCAGGTCAAGCAGCATTGTACAGGGCTATGAAAGAACCAAGAACGCGCCCGGGGGAAGGGTCTGAGCTTTGCGGCTTGTCCTTGCTTACACATTTGTGTTTCAGTTATTCTTTAAGTAGGAAATACGGGCCTGTGGCTTAAAAATGATGCCTCAGAAGGCACAAAAGGATTTGTGTCACTTTTATTTAAAGCAATACTGTATCAATATCTAATCATTAAAAACAACATCTGAGTATTATAACACTTTCTTACTGCACGTTCCCTCTTGCGCTTACGTATTTTAGGAGGTTTTAGTTGGTAAACATAGCATTTTATGGTTTTTGCATAAATGTTATGTTTCATAATGGTATATTCGACCAGTTCTTTTGTATCACAGATCATTCAGCTGGGCATTTGGTTGCTTGCCGAGGATACTCTGCGTTCAGTGTTTGAAGTGAATTTTAAACTTGATTTGAGGCTTACCCAGGAGTGAGATTTCTGGTCTAAAGATGACCTGCGTATGAATCTCAGGATGTGCTGACTGCCAGGGTGCTTTGTGTGAGGGCTGTACCAGTGTAGATATCAGTAGCTGTGAATGAATGGATCAGTTTTATTGCAGCTGTCCTCATGTTGGGGGTGGGATGTCAGGTATGCCCCTCCCCCCAAAATTCTTGCTGATTTAATCAGCCTACGGTTTTACTTTCTTTGGTCACTAGTGAAGTTGAAACTTTTTCCACTTAATATTTCTTTTGTAATATTCCCATTTGTGTCACTTTCCCTTCTTTGAATTGAGGTCTTAATATTTTTTACTTATCTGTATAAAATACTTTAATAGTTGTTGTCTCATATTTAATACAAATGTTTTCCCTAATCTGTTTTCTTCTCCTGTAACATTTTCTGGTACGCTTTGCAGTGGGTCCAGAGTTGTCTGGGGATCAAATTTAAGTAGCCCTGGACCAACTGGATTAAGTTTGATCAGCAAATTCCTGCTGAAAACTCTTAACATGGTGCTCTGTTTGGGGTAGCGTTTATGAGGAAACAACTTAAGGTGAAAACTAATTACCTTTTTTTGATGTGCTCAGAACATTAACCAGGTGGTATTTGTTGGAAATTTCTTGAGAATTAACACGATCGCCATGCGGCTTTTGGCATATGCTTTGGATTATTGGTCCAAGGGGCAGTTGAAAGCACTATTTTCGGAACATGAGGTAAGCTGACTTGTTTCATGTGATGGTACAATACACAAAGGGTACAGAGGGGAAATGGGCGGCAATGTTTTTTTTTTTTTTTAATGATTGTATTAACATTAATTGTAATGTTTTAAAGTTATTTATTTTTGAAAAATTAAGTTACTTAAAAGGCAGAAAGACAGATCTCCCATCTGTTGCTTCACAAAGCCAAAGCTGGGCCAGCAACTGGGTCTTCCTCCTAGCAGGCAGGGAGCCAACTCGTGGGTAGTCACCCACTGCCTCTCGGGATGTGCATTAGCGAGAAGCTGGAAATGGGAGCAGGTGTGGGGCTTGAACCCCGGCGCTCTGTGGGAGGGACGCAGGTGTCCTAAGTAGTGCCGTAACTGCTGCAGCAGATACCCACCCCTGAAAGCTGTTTTTTACCTGGTAAATGCTTTATAGGTTTTTTGGTTAATTTACCTGTATATGTAAACGATTTTAAGAAAAAAATCTTGATGAACATGACTCCACTTCTCATGCTGTAATCTCTGAATTTGTTTTTCTCATCGCTTAGACTCAGTGCAGTTACTCTGGGTTCTAGTTTTTAAACTTTCTTATGGCAGTTTTATGTACTGGTATATATAACTCACGTGGCATTTAAGATGTGTGTTCTAAAAATGGATAGTAAAAAACATTCCCATCAAGAACTATACTGTCATATATATAGTTGCTTAGATGCAGGTAAGCTAGAAATGACAGAAAAGAATCGTCTTTGTTGCACTTGATATCCTCTTTTGGAAAGTATCTTGTCCTGTTTTGGCCACAAAAATGGAACCAGAGCTCTATTCTATCCCTTGATTCCTGGGCAGTTGAACTGTTTCTGTTGCTGGGTTTTAGTTGTGTTACCATGAACATTTTTCACAATTGTGTGTGCCTGTTTACTCTAGCAGTTTATATAAATTGACAGAAATCAAAGTAGGATTTGAAATGCTGTAAATAGAAATTATTTTCCTTTAATTGCTTTGCTCTTCCTTTTAAATTGCTGAAGTTTAGTTAAAATCCAGAATATAATTTTCCCATATCAGAAAGCTTGAAGTTTAACACATCTAATTTTGTTCCTTTTCATGTTGCTATACAAGTAAATCAGTACTTATATTTACCACTGTTTCTTACAATTCATAATCTTGATATATCTTGCTTTTTGTGATCTTTGATCTGTTTTGCTTTAAATTAGAATATAAACTTGTCTATGCCGGCGCCGCGGCTCACTAGGCTAATCCTCTGCCTTGCGGCGCCGGCACACCGGGTTCTAGTCCCGGTCAGGGCGCCGGATTCTGTCCCGGTTGCCCCTCTTCCAGGCCAGCTCTCTGCTGTGGCCAGGGAGTGCAGTGGAGGATGGCCCAAGTGCTTGGGCCCTGCACCCCATGGGAGACCAGGAGAAGCACCTGGCTCCTGCCATCGGATCAGCGTGGTGCGCCGGCCACAGCACACCGGCCGCGGCGGCCATTGGAGGGTGAACCATCGGCGAAGGAGGACCTTTCTCTCTCTCACTGTCCACTCTCCCTGTCAAAAAAAAAAAATATATATATATATAAACTTGTCTAACTTCCTGGTTAATTCCTGCCTTTTGTTGAACATTTTCCTAGATAGAACATGGAGATTAGTTTTCTTACATTTACCTTGGTTTTTCAAGTTTGTGTCTTCATACTGTATTAGATATAAACCCTTTATGAATTTTTTTTCCAAAAGATTTATTTACTTGAAAGCAGAGTTACAGAGAGACAGAGTTTCCATCCGCTGCTTCACTCCCCAAATGGCCGCAACGGTCAGGGCTGTGCTAGGCAGAAGCTGGGAGCTTTGGGTCTCCGTGGGTACAGGGGCCCGAGCTCCTGGGCCATCTTCTGCCACCCCCCCACCCCCCCACCCCACCCCCATTAGCAGAGAGCTGGATTTGAAGTGGAGCAGCTGGGACTGGAACCAGCACCACAGGTGGCTTTACCTGCTACTCCAAGGCCGGCCCTGAGGTTTTTTTTTATGTAAATGTTTTGTCATTTTTATTGCAGCTGACTTCATTTTCCCCTTTGGTAGCACTGCTGGGCCTTCCCCGCATTTTCCATTTGAACTGAAGCCTCTGACTGCAGTGCTGATCCCCACTGTGGACTCACGTAGCTGCTTGTGCTGCCCGGTGGAGTCCAGCTGCTGCTGGGAAGGCTTCACGCAGGTGCTTCTCAGGTCTTTGTCTCTCAGCAGAGCACCTGGTAGCGTGGAACAAGCTGGCTTTGTCTGTACTTGATAGTAGGGGCTGGGTCCTCAGTGGAACTCGAGCTCATGGGTAGTGCTCTCATTTTTTTATTATGAAGTAAAACACAGAGAAAGTGACAGGACAAAATTGATAGCTGTTAACAAAACAAGCTCCCTTGTGTCTGTCCTCTGGCTGGGGCTGGCTCAGCTGTGTCACTGCTGGATTTCTGGCCTTCTAACAGAGTGGTGTGGCTACTTTTTTTTTTTTTTTAAACAAGAGAAATAGGATGACAGGGCAGGCTTCAGCCTTGTTTGGTCACTTACTACTTTAAGAAGCTTTTCTTGAAAGATGCTCATGGTATTTCAGAGACTTATAGGACATTCTCCTAAATCCACGAGCAAGTTTTTCGGGAGCTTCCCATGTTTTTAATTTATTTTATTTGAAAGAGTTACACAGAGAGGAGAGGCAGAATGAGAGAGAGGTCTTCCATCCACTGGTTCACTCCCCAATTGGCCACAATGGCTGGAGCTGCGCCAATCTGAAGCCAGGAGCTTCTTCCAGGTCTCCCACGCAGGTGCAGGGGCCCAGTGACTTGGGCCATCTTCCACTGCTTTCCCAGGCCCTAGCAGAGAGCTGGATCGAAGTGGAGCAGCTGGGATTCAAAGCAGCACCTATACGGGATGCTGGCACTGCAGGCCAGGGTGTTAACCCGCTGTGCCACAGTGCTGGCCCCTCTTGCATTCCTTTCTAAAAATATTTTCATTTTATTTGAAAAGCAGAGTGATCTGTTCCATCCACTGGTTCACTCTCCAACTGTCTGCTACAGCTGGGGCTGGGCCAGGCCAAAGCCAGGAGCTCAGAACTCCATCTGGGTCTTCCACATGAGTGGCAGTGCCCCAGGTACTTGAGTCACCATCTTCCCTCCAGTGTGCGCGTTAGCCAGAAGCTGGACTTGAACCAGGCGCTGTGATACAGGCGCCCTATGTGCTGCACCAAATACCTGCCCTCACTTAATTCTTTTAAAGTACTTTACTCCCTTATATATAATGCTTTTGGAGACCTTTATGGGTGGGATTCTTCTGTTCCCTGTTGGCATTCTCTATCAGTGTGGGTTTTTTTTTTTTTCTTTTCCCTTATTTAATGTGTTACTCATTTGTTTTGGTTTGTGTTTGGGTTCCTGCCTGCATCTGACCTGACTGCTTGCTTCTGGGGAGAGTGTGGCATTTGTCCTGTCAGCTGCTGCTTTTGTCTCATGCTTCTGCCCTCCCCTTGGGAGCTCGTCATTCCTCAGACTTTGGTCTGTGCCTCTCCAGTCTCTTGGATGCCCTGGGCACCTTGGCCTTCCAGATCCTGAAGGGAACCCACCTGCCTTGCTCTCCATATCTCCTGCTCCTGTGTCCTCATTCTTGGGACTGGTGTCCTAAACCTCCCCTGCTGCCTGTCTGTTCCTCCTCTCCCAGCCCAGGCAGGCTTTCCCTCTGTGCCCCCCACCCCCTACTGCATCCCAGCTTCTCCTGTTCCATCTCAGCTTCATTCCTTGGTTGTCCGAAATGTCCCAGGCCTCTGCTGGTTCTCACCCCCTCATCCCTAGGGCCCAGCTCAGGTAGTTTTGCTAGTGAGAGCTGAGCTGCCAGTGGCCCTGGCTTCTCGAGTCCCCACTGCAGGCTTGCCTTTGCTCTGATCACAGTGCTCTGACCGGCCTGGAGGGTTTTATACATCCAGACCCCTCCCTAGCCTGCTCCTTGGGGCTTCCCTGCTCTCAGGCTGGCCTAAGCCTCCTGCAGGTGTTCAAGAAATGGTATGAGGAGTTCAGGGCAGTGTTGGCTCTAACACCAGTGATTATGTTAATGGTAATTTAAGTAAGTATGAGGAAAATTGCTCTTATTTTTAATGTATTTATTTTCCAGGGTTATTTTGGAGCCGTTGGAGCACTCCTTGAATTGTTGAAGATCCCTTGATTGTTACCTGGGGAGGGGTTTCTGGAACTTTCCACGATGGGATCTATGGACTTTTTTTTTTTTTTTTTGAGACTCAATTTTGTGACTGTACTACCTGAATCAAAGTGAGAAAAGACAAGTGTATTTTTCTAAGTCATCAAGATAAATCTTAGAATTTCAGTCCGAACTAGCAACCAGTAAGGAAAGATATTAAAAAAAAGTGGACCACGTCCAGGTAGTGTGAGGCCTTGCTGTATTTATGTTGCTTTTCAGCATAGCACTGTTTTCTGAAATCTGTGTCACTGGAGACACTTCAGGGAAAGCTGTTCTGTGTCCTGTGAAATGTAAGGCAAGCTGCTCTGCAAGATCTCTGGGCATTACTGTCTGCACCTGCCTTCATGTGAACATATGAAAACGTGTTTTGTGTCATTTCAAGGTTCTGCAGACTTCTCTGGGCAGATGAATTTTGTATCTGACACCTGACAGGCACCTTTTGGAGGGGCGGTGCCCGGTTACTTCACACTGTAAATCCTGTGACAGTCTGTTTGCAGAGAGACTTCTGGAAAGAAGAGCATTTCCTTGGGCAGTAGAGGCTTACTGATCTGGTACAAGGGGTGAGCTAGGAGAAAAAGCACATCTGGAAGATGAACTCCAGACGACAGGGCTGCAGGGACTGACATCTCTTCAGGGGCCCTGGGGTGTGGTTCTTTCAGGCTGAGCAGGAATGGCCGGGTCCTGAAGAGCTTCCGGGGAGGGAGGCTGGTAGCCCTGAGAGCACACTTAGGAGTTTGCATGGGGAGAGTGACCGGCTCACTGCCCTGTCTTGGAGCTTGAACCTTTGCTTCCTGCTGTGCAGAATGACTTTAAAAGCCTTCTCCGAGCTGGTGCAGCTTTTGTGTTTTTGTATAAAGTAGTGCCTGCATCACTGTTAAAGGCAAGGGTGGGTCTGTACAAAGAAACTGGAAAAAAAAAAAAACCATGAGGCCGTCCTGTTTTTGTCTTTCTGATGGGGTGGGAGGAACCCTGTGGGGTGGCAGTCGCACCCCTTAGGCAGGAAATAGTGACAGCCCTTCTGAGCCACATTGGACACCTCACCTGGGTGTCTGTGTCCCACACCCTCCTCAGTGCCCCAGGCAGAAGACTCCTGTGAGCTTCCTGACTTCCCAAGGAGACCTAGGCCAGCCGCCCAAAGGCAGGCGTCTCTGTACGTGCTCACTGGGTTCCTCCAGCGGTTGTGATCAGTGTTCCAGGTGGGTCATCTTCAGCCCTTCTAGTCCCGTTATTTGAAGGAGAAGGAAAATGAAGCTCAGAGGAGCAAACCTACCCAAGGTCACAAAGCTGAAACTTGGACTCGTTCTGTCTGACCCCCAAGCTCGAGCTGGGGCTCTCCTGGCACTGGCAGCTCTTGCCTTCCTCCTCTTTGGATCCAGCACCTCTTTAGAGAAGCTGCTCCATTTCTTCACTTTCCACTGTGCTCGCCCACCCTGCTGCTTGTGAGAGTTGTTGGCAGGCCAGTCCACCACAATGATAGTGTCCGCCCTTGGGGCTCAATCCTGGTTCTCCCCAGGTAGTGGGACAGAAAAGGCTACAAAGAAATCTGGAGACTGGCTCCCTGCTTGGGAGATGGAGGGGAGCTCTGGAGGTACCTTGGTGTAGGGGCCCAGTTTCGGCTGCTGGGTAAAGTTGAAGACGGCGGCAGTGACCAGACACAAGACCTTGGAACTGATTTTTAAAAGCTGAGGCTGGACATAGCAGGGCATGTGCCTCCCCTGTTCCTGTGTTTGAGGCCTTTGTTCTCTTGACCACTGGGGCCACCCCCATATCAGAGAATGGGCCAGCGGTTCCTCCATCACAGCCCTGCTGGATCAGAACCATTTACCTTGAGTTCCTAAGCTGAAAGGCACATGCTCAACACAGTATCTTCAAAATCTGCATTTTATTTACACCTGTTTGTCAATTACATGCATGTCTTTTTAAACGAGTGATTAGCAAAAAATGCATTAAAATTTTAAAATAGCAATTAAATATACAAAAATATAGCTTACAAAAAACTGCGAATGTTTAAAAATATTCTGCTGCAGAATTCATAGTGTACAAACACGTCTATGAAACCTGAGGCTCAGCATTTCATAAACCTTTTTTTGAGGGAGTTACACATCTAGTGAATAAACCCCAAAGGGCCAGGCTACAGGACTAAGTGTCCCCGGTTCTGGCAATGACTCACTGAGGAAGTGCTACCAGGAGCACACTCAGCAAGTCCCCCTTGCTGAGGGCCTGCGCTCCTGACACTGGCCAGCCCTGGAAGGGATGGGCCAAGAGTGTGCAGTGGGCCTCAAGTTCAGACATGCCAGCTGACACAGGGACCAGGAAGAACTTTAAGTGCAAAAACTTCCCCTGCCACTGGTGGGCTCACGCACCTGGCATCACCAGGGGGTTCTCCCTGATGCCACAACCACAGAGCTGGGCAACCAAGGATGCCACTGGTTCCTGGGCTAGAAGTGGGGTGAAACCAAGTTGAATTCTGAAGCCGGTCTGAACAATTTTTTCCTGTCCCATTCGAATGGAAGCCCAGTCCACAGTATGTGGGCTCCTTTGTTAATCTTAGTAAAGAACTGTTAACCAGCATTTCCCAGTTACTACTGCAAATGTCAGTCTAGCCACGACCATGACCTCTGCAAGACATTAACCCTGGACCAGAGGTTCCAGCAGGATTTTGCACACTGTCCTCAGTTTCAGGTTAGGGGCCCAGCTGCACTCAAGACCTGGGCAGGAGGTGTACCAAAGGAGGCAAGCAGGTGGAGCTTGCCAGACAGCCAGGGAGGAGTCCAGGACCCTTCTCCCCAAGGCCACCTGGAGGAAGCAGCTTAACATTTATCCCTGGGGAGGCAAAATGAAATTGAAAATACTTCCTAAAAGATTGCTGGTGGCCTAATTCCTGGTGTCACATAGAACAAAAGGGGCTGCGAGAAGATTGTGTAGGAAGCATTTCCCTTTTGTGTGTGCTTATAGGGGGGATACGAGGAAAGCCAGGAACTTGGCAGATGAGCCCCTGGGCCTGTATCTGGTTAACCAGGAGATTCACCGTCTGTGTCCCACAAAATGGAAGCCTGCAGTTGCTGCTGCCCAAACTCCTGCATCAGAAACTGGAGCCAGTCATTAGTGCTGGACTCCGGGCCCAGAGAGGAAGGGTGGCAGCACATCCAGGCGGGAGTCCACTATCTTGTGGGGGAAATTGGGGGGCTGCGCTCTGATTAGCTGGGTCTCTGAGGTGGGGCAGAGACTGCAGCTTCTGACTTGGGTAGAATGTTGCAATCAAGCACAAATGCCTTATTCAAGTGGAATGTGACTGCAAAAATACCTCAATTCTGGGCTTGCCTCTTAGAAAACCTGACTTGTAGCATGCCTCTCCCACACGAACAGGAGAGGTCCTTGACTATGCACTAACGAGGAGCACGCTACTGGTGGGTGCTCAACAGGTGGGGCGCTGGGGTAAGGGAGCCTGATGGTGATTTGTGAACCCTATGCCAGGTTAGCTATTCAGAGTCAAATGAGCAGTTAAGTCAGGTGTGCCATGGTATAGACAGGCGGTCAAGGAAGATTGGAGGGCTCTGTGTCTACTGGGTGACCTGGATGATGCCGCCACCGACTCTCATGACCCCAGGCCTGCCACATACCAGGCTCTGGCCACAGGCTGATCCTCACGAGAGCCCCTTTTTTTTCAAGCCCTGCATGGTGGACAAGGAAGCTGAGCAGTGAGGGGCAAGAAGATGACATCCCTGGTCTGCCCAGGCTCTGGGGACACCACAAAACGTGTGTTTCCTAATTCACTGAAGGCCTCTGATAAAGGAGCTGGCTAGAGCAGCTCAGCGTGAGGCTGTGGAGAGGAATGAGGCCCCGGCCATTCCTCTGATGGATCTGAGGGGCCTGGCCCTGGAGACAAGCAGTTGTACTTGTCAAGTCTATCAAGAACATGGTGTCTGGCAGTGGTGGTGGGCCCACCTGCCTCCTTTTGGCTGTTTCTGTCTGCTTCCTTTCGAGGTGGCTACAAGGATCTTTCCTGCCAAGTGCCGGCGCATATCACACTTCGCAAAGAAAAGCAGATGTCAACTTATAGTGTCTTGTGTTCATCCAAGAATCGGGTCAGGCTGGTTTTGTTCCCTGTTTCTAGTAAGTCACCTGAACTCAGATGTCCCCTTAGCAACAACTCCCTGATGAGTCAAGATGCTCATGGGCTCCAGTGGGGCCTGAGTTCTGCTCCACTAACCAGCAGCACACAAATAGCTGTTAAGAACACACAATAAGGCCGGTGCTGCGGCTCACTAGGCTAATCCTCCGCCTTGCGGTGCCAGCACACCGGGTTCTAGGCCTGGTCGGGGCGCCGGATTCTGTCCCGGTTGCCCCTCTTCCAGGCCAGCTCTCTGCTGTGGCCAGGGAGTGCAGTGGAGGATGGCCCAAGTCCTTGGGCCCTGCACCCCATGGGAGACCAGGATAAGTACCTGGCTCCTGGCTTCGGATCAGCGTGGTGTGCCAGCTGCAGTGCGCTGGCCGCAGCGGCCATTGGAGGGTGAACCAACAGCAAAGGAAGACCTTTCTCTCTGTCTCTCTCACTGTCCACTGTGCCTGTCCAAAAAAAAAAAAAAAAAGACAATAAGACTACAGCAGCCAGTGGTCCCGGAGCAGCCCAGTCCCCACATACCTACACATTCACACAGGTCACCGATAACTCATGCCTCATTGTGGGAGTTAGGCCCAAGCCAACAGGGTATAAAGGGATCCCTCATTCTTGAAGAAACTGGATGGATTGTCTTTTAAACAAAATACGAATTGTAAGCAGAATCAAAGGAAGACATATGAAAAGGCCTGCTGCCATTTGTAGCACAGAGGCTTGGGGGTGGGGTGGGGGCGGGGAAGGGTTATGGTTGGAGGCCCCAGCTGCAGAGAGCAAACACAGGCGGTAAACCTGGGCCTGGTCCCAAGAAAGGGGAGATGACTAAAAGCAGAATAGACACTGATGTCTCCAGCTTCCAGCCAACCCTGGCAGCAGTGCACTGCAGAAAGCACGCCCCATTCACAAGGGCCAAGAAGGTGAGGTTAATGGTGGCTCAGTTTGGGCAGAGCAGACGCCGGTGTTCCTGCGCTTTCCTCGTATGGACCTGACTACACACACTCGGCCTCTGGTCTGGGGCACGAACACAGAGAATTGATTGACCTCTAGAGAAACAGGGTCACGGTGAGGCTGTCTCCTTGGCACGGAGGCATGGGGACACAAAGGTGGTGGCAACTGAAACGCTAGAATTCCACAAAAGCTGTGAGCCACAGCAATCTGCAGTGTAGGTCATACAGAATTCCTCCCCTGCAGGGAAGGAAAATCTCCTATTGGAGCCCTACAGCGAAGAGGCGGCATCTGTCCCAAGACCACTTCGTGGAAAGTGGTGGGTGCTGCCCAGTGCAGAAGCAAGCCCACTGTTGGCACTGTCACTGAAAACGTGTCACTGTAAACTGGGTGCTTCGCAGCATTCAGCTCTAGCTGCTATAAATAGAGAACGCGAAAAGAAGGTGAAAGTAGCAGTGTACAAAGAGTTCTTCTTATGGTGCCAAACCGGCTAAGGCGTTCATATAAAAATATTCCACACTCCCCTTGCCCTGTTCAGGAAGCAGTCCAGCTGGCAGACTACAGGTAGGTCACACATGGGAAACAGCCAGTTCTGCCCAACTAGATTTGTAATTTTCCAAGCTGGATTCTGCCCAGCACTTTTCTAGGCTAATAGGAATTTTCCTCCTCATCTGACCCCAGCCACCAGAGCCAAGGACAGGTTCCCCTTCCCATTCTTAGATGGTAGAGGTTAAATTCCAGAAAATATTCCTGGAGGCATGCCATAAGCAGAGTAGCAAAGCTCTCTCCACCCTGTCCATATCACACAGAGTATATTCCAATGAAACACTTCCCCCACTTCCACCTGTGGGGTAGAGTGGAACAAAGCAGTTGGTGAACTCCTGTGATGAGGGAGGTGTGGAGCAGGGCTGTGGGAAAGAATGTTCTATTTGACCCACTTCTGCTTACATAGCTAAATTTTACAGTATTCACAAATCCTAATGGACTCAGTCACTTCTAGAAAAGTTGGACAGCAAGAGGCAAAGAGCAGCATGCATTTCTTTCCTATAAAGACACTTTCAGTGAGTGATCACAAGTCCAAAAATGGAGGCACACGCCAATAGGTGGAGAGCCCTGCGGGAGCTTCCTAAAACTATTTACAATTTCAGGTGGATTTCCAGCTTCAGAATTACACGGGAATCTTATTTGGGATAACTTGTTAAAAAGTCAACAGGCAGAGACAGTGCAACAGGGGAAGAGAAAGGAAGGGGAGGCAACAGAGTCAGCATCCGTATCCAGCTGGGCCACGGGGACCAGCCATTCTTAGGCCACTCCAGAGCCTTGGATGGGCCCCCAGCATCCTCCTCCCAAGGAAGCCAGCAACTGTGCTGGAACCATGCTGTGCATGTGGGGATGTGGGCAGCACCCTGGCTGGGATCCCCTGGGTTGTGCAGGGATCGTGTGGGCTGAGAGCTCAGCCCCAGCTGGACTTCCCTAGTGAACGGAAGTGGGTAGTCGGGGAGAAGAGGAAATGGCTTCTGACCAGGCCTTTCCAAGTGCATTTAATGGATATAGCTTAGGTGATTTGATAGCAAGTGTTGTGAAGTGAAGGGAACAGGGTGGTGAGGGGCTGTGCTGCTCTATTGTACCCAAAGCCCTTGGGTTCCAAGATGGCCTTATCAAAGGAACAGAACACGAAGAGGCCACCGGCACTGCCCCACTGCCAACCGGCAGCCGGCTGTACTTTGGCTCACCATGGCCCCTGCTTTTTACTTGGCCCAGACTGGCAGGGGGACTCAGTGCTGGGCAGGCATGCACGGTCCACTCAGAAGCTCATCCTCCATGGGTGGGCGTGTGGCTTTAAAGCCCTCCCCTCAGTTCCCTTCTCTAATACTGTGTTTATCTTCCCTTTTTGATAAAGCTTCATCTTGACAAGGAGATGAGTATCTGGGAGACTATAACAGAGTTAGCGAGAGACCCTCATGAAGTTTCTTGAACCAAACCTGCAGGCTCATCCACTCCTCTTCTCTTGGCGTGGGGTAGTTACCAGAGTGCTTTGGTTGTCACAGGCCCAGATGCCTGGGTCCCCAGCTTGGCTGGCCCAAGAGTTCTTCATGAGGCAAAGGAAGTGGCAGCTGGTGCCTCAGGTAAGAGCGACCAAGACAGAGCCCGCCCGCGTTCCTCCTGGCTGTACGCAGACGTCGCATCCCAACAGTCTGATCCTACGGCGAGCTATACAATGTTCTCTGCCCCAGGAAGGGGACCCTGTGGGGGGCCACGGTCCTGCTTACTGTGCAACTGGGCCAACTGCAGAACTGGCATGTTGCACAGGGGACACACTTTCCGAACCTCCAGCCACTTAATAAGGCACCTGTAGAACAAGATGCCACAGGGGGAAGAAGACATCAGTCCCGTGGTCATGGCACCCCTGCCCTCATCTTGCTGTTGCCACGTACAGTGAGTACCTCTGACACCCAGAGCAAGTGTGAGGAGCCCCAAGGACTCCACCACACATGGAGAATGCACATTACCCCCAGAGAAACCAAGGTGTCCTGTCTGCCACAAGGTGATACTAAGAAGCCACAGCTAGTGCGTTACATCTTCAGCCACTCATGATTTCACAAAGGACAAAGTACACCAAGGAGGGAGGCAGGAAGTAGGAAAAGTAAATGTTTCTAACAGAAATATAAAATCGGTAAAACTGCAAGAGATGGGTAGGCTATTTAATGTATCTGTAGGAAGTAGGAAATACCATTTATATCCAGACTACTTAAAAGAACTATGGTTTGCAGTAAGATAAATTTTAGAAGCTGGAAGCTCTTAGTGGGAAGCCCCAGCTAAATCACTGTTTACAGTCTGGGCTCCACAGGGGCTCATCTGGCTCTCTGGCAGAGTTCTGTGACGGTTACTTCCCATCGCCCTGGCCCCTTCTGGTGTCACGTAGACACACGTCATCACCTCCCCCCCCCCCCCCCAATGCTGTCAGCTTTCTGCATCCCAGACCAATCATGAAACCACCAACTTTGGCATTGCTCCAAGGGTCACAAGTAAGATGGCCAGTGTGTCCCAAACTCGAGTCCCAGTACATAACTCCACATCAGTACTCACTTTCTGTGGAAGGCATGCTTACATGGACAGATTCCCAACTCATCTCGAGGCCTGAAGTCTTCTAGACACACTGCGCACAGCTGAAAGACAAGTTCACAAATGAGGCTGAGAGTCTACCAAGTACTCTCCCAGGTCCCACAGTAGGGTGCAGGCTCCTGAGACCAGCATGTGAAGGAACTTCCACTGTCCCACAACTTAAGTGGAATCCACAGGTTGGGATGGATGAGGCCTCCTGAAGAGGACTCTCCTGCTGGATCCATCGCCTGCCTTGAGGCACTGAGCAGGTGGGAAAAGATGGAGAGCAAGAGGCCAGCCCCTCCACTCCATCCAGGGGAACAGTGTGACTCAGGGTTACTCTCCCACGCCAAGGCTTAACCTACTGTCTGTTTCCTGGGATGTGCCCAGGGATTGTATCTTGGAAGACACTTTGGGCAGTGGTGCAGCCCTAGCTCCCACTCACTGAAGGAGTCTGCTCATGCCCTGGGCAATCCTTGGTCCAGTTTTTTAAAAGGGCACAGCCTGCAGTAACATGCTATTTATAGTTCCTGGGGCCTCTCATTGTGGCACTGTCCTGTCAGTCTGTCATTGTCATACAAAAAGTTATTAAAGACTAACTTAAAGCTGGCACCGCGGCTCACTAGGCTAATCCTCCACCTTGCGGCGCCAGCACACCGGGTTCTAGGCCTGGTCGGGGCGCCGGATTCTGTCCCGGTTGCCCCTCTTCCAGGCCAGCTCTCTGCTGTGGCCAGGGAGTGCAGTGGAGGATGGCCCAGGTGCTTGGGCCCTGCACCCCATAGGAGACCAGGATAAGTACCTGGCTCCTGCCATCGGATCAGTGCGGTGCGCCGGCCGCGGTGGCCATTGGAGGGTGAACCAATGGCAAAGGAAGACCTTTCTCTCTGTCTCTCTCTGTCCACTCTGCCTGTGTCCCCCCCCCCCCCAAAAAAAAAAAAAAGACTAACTTAAAACTTAAGAAAGCATAGATAGGGCCAAGATCCCTCTGACAGGTGATCAGCCTCCAGTGCTTGGAAAGAGGCTTTCTCCTCATCCAGATGCCAGGTTCTCACACTACTTCTTGGACACTTACCAGTGCCCATGGACACCATGGCCATTGCACTTACCCATTTTACAGATGAAGAAACAGGCCCAGAGCAATAACCACAGTGCTCTTGCCATTCCACTGTGGAGACTCCAGGCCTAGCCAGAGACCCAGACTTGTCGCACTGGTGTGCTGCTGAACCACTTTTACCTCGTGCTCAATGACTGAATTCCTTCCTGCTTCCCTCCCTGTACCCCCAGGGTCCTGGCTCAGGCCATCACCATTGCTTTCTTGCCTGGCTAACCTATCACATGTAACCTGGCCTTCCTAGATTATGTGTGTGCCATGGCCGTGAACATTTTTGTTGAGGCAGCTCTCAGGGCCTTGTGTTAAAGACGGACAGAACTTTCACAGGAAGAGGAAAATGAAAAACCACGCCCACGCCCCGTGTCCCTGCCACGACAACAGGGGGACAGGCAAGAGCACAGGACAGCAGCTGGCCTGCATTAGCACACCCACCAGCTGTGTTGGCCTCTGCTTTCACAGAACTGCCATCAGCTCAGCTTGGGTGTAGGGCCACACAGTAAGGTATCTACCAATACCAGCCTTTCTTCTTTTCTTGTTATTGTCTTCTTAGACAGGCAGTTGGTGAGAGAGAGAGACAAAGGTCTTCCTTTTCCGTTGGTTCACCCTCCCAAACAGCTGCTATGGCTGGCATGCTGTGCTGATCCAAAGCCAGGAGCCAGGAGCTTCTTCCGGGTCTCCCACGTGGGTGCAGGGCCCAAGCACTTGGGCCATCCTCCATTGCACTCCCGGGCCACAGCAGAGAGCTGGACTGGAAGAGGAGCAACTGGGACAGAATCTGGTGCCCCAACCGGGACTAGAACCCGGAGTACCAGTGCCTCAGGTGGAAGATTAGCCTAGTGAGCCGCGGTGCCGGCCAAAACCAGTTGTTTTTTATGATGTTTACATTTTGTGATGGCAATATCATTTTCAAGATCATTTTTCTGGAGGCAAACTGAGAACGAGCTGAGAAAGTTCCAGCTTTGGGGAATCTTTTCAGGCCTCTGTCTCCCTTGTCTAAGAGGAAGGATGCTCCCACCTCCCAGACTGTGTGGACATGCCCTCCAGCCTTTCACAGCTAGCTCCATCAGCCCAGTCTTGAGACAGAGGGTCAGCACTGTCACCTGGAGATGGAGTTCTGTGTATACCAAAGCACAAGCTGGACACATTGCTCATTTTCATCCACTTATTTTTCCAAGATCCCAAATTAGAATTGTAGCCTTTTCAAAACCTAGTTTCTGTTAAGGGTTATAATGTGCTATTGTTATATTCTAAATAAATTCTACAACCATAGCTATCTGAAAAGAAACACAATTTACTGATAAAGGTAACCAAAACTCAGGGCAATCAGGGCACTTCCTAGAAGTTCACTCTGAGGGCCAAATTCATTTTACAATTTTACAATTATATTTTGCAAATGAGCTTTACTTTCCAGTATCTCAGTGACAAGAGTTTACCAGTGTGATTCCATTAAAAAAAAAAAAAAAACTAGATACAATTAAAGTACACAATCCATCAGTGTTTAACTATACTCAGAGTTGTGCAACCATCACCTTCCCCACCCCTTCAAAAGGCCCAGCAGTCACTCCTTATTCTCCCCAGTCACTGGCAATCAACCACTAGTCTATTTTCTATCTTGATGGGTTTGTCTATTCTATACATTTCCTGTAAACGGAATCTCATAATATGTGGTCCTCTTTATTTAGCTTCTTTCCTTTAGCTTTACCCATACTGTAGCATACAAACACTTTACTCATTTTTATGGCTGAATAATATTCCACTGTATGTATAAGCCAATTTTGTTTATCTATTCTTTGATGACCATTCAGGGTGTAACTATCTTTTGGTTATTTTGAATAATGCTGCTTTAAACAAGTCCCTGTTCTATTCTTTTGAAATTCCAAAGAGTGGAATTCCTGAGTCATATGATAACTTTACATTTAACTTTTAAAAAATAGTTATTTGAAAGAGCGGCAGGCACCATGGCTCAATAGGCTAATCCTCCACCTGTGGTGCTGGCACACTGGGTTCTAGTCCCTGTTGGGGTGCCAGATTCTGTCCTGGTTGCCCCTCTTCCAGTCCAGCTCTCTGCTGTGGCCAGGGAGTGCAGTGGAGGATGGCCCAAGTGCTTGGGCCCTGCACCCGCATGGGAGACCAGGAGAAGCACCTGGCTCCTGGCTTCAGATCAGCGTGGTGCGCTGGTTGCAGCGCGCTAGCTCCAGTGGCCATTGGAGGGTGAACCAATGGAAAAGGAAGACCTTTCTTCTGTCTCTCTCTCCTACTGTCCACTATGCCTGTCAAAAAAAAAAAAAAAGAAAGAAAGAAAAAAGAAAAGAAAGAGTGATAGGCAGATGTACTTGCTGGTCTGTTCCCCAAATGGCTGCAATGGTGGGGGCTGGGCCAGGCCAAAGGCAGGAGCCCAGAATTCTGTTTATTTCTCCCAAGCACTTGGACCATCTTCTATTGCCTTTCCAGGTGCACTTGCAGGAAGCTAGATTGGAAGCCAGGTGGCCAGGACTCAAACTGGAGCTCTGATGGGATGCAGGTGTTGTAAGTGGTGGCTTAACCTGCTGCATCACAATGCCTGCCCCTGGGTTGAACTTCGTGAGGAGCTACCAAACTGATTCTTACCAGCAGTATACAGGCAGTGGTCACTTCTCTCATGACTATTAATGATGTGCTTATAGGCAATTTGCATATTTTTTGGAGAAATGTTTATTCAAGTCCTTTGCCCTTTTAGTTATTTAGTTGGTAAAATATATTTTAGACACAAATCCCTTATCAAATAGTCAACTGATTTTGACAAAGGTAGAAAAGCATTTCAATAGCAGAAGGACAGCCTTTGCAACAAATGATGTTGGTGCATTTACACACTCACAGGCATCAAAAGTGCAGGCAACCTAAGCATAAGCAACCAAAGAAAAATACTGATAAACTGAATGTTATCAAGTTTAACAACTTTTGTTAGCAAATCCTCCAGAAGAATGCAAAGATGGAAGAAAATATTTGCAAACCTTTTTATTTTGCAGGCTTTTTATTACTGATTTTCAAGTGTTCTTTAATATATTCTGCATACTAGCCACTTATCAGATGTAAGATTTTTAAGTATTGTTTCCCTGTGGGTTGTTTATTCACTTTTAAAAAAAAGATTTATTTATTTATTTGAAAGTCAGAGTTACAGAGAGAGAAGGAGAAGCAGGGAGAGGGAGGGAGAGAGTCTTCCATCCACTAGTTTACTCCCCAATTGGCCACAACAGCAGGAGCTGCGCCGATCCAAAGCCAGGAGCTTCCTCCGCGTCTCCCATGTAGGTGCAGGGGCCCAAGGACTTGGGCCATCTTCTACTGCTTTCCCAGGCCATAGCAGAGAGCTGGATCAGAAGTGCAGCAGCTGGGACTTGAACTGGAGCCCATATGGGGATGCTGGCACTGCAGGCAGCGGCATTACCCACTATGTCATAGTGCCAGCCTCTATTTACTTTCTTGATAATGTTGTTTGAAGCACAAAACTTTGTAATGTTGGAGTTCAATTTATTGTTTTTTCTTTGGTTGCTTATGCTATTTGTGTCCTAATCCAAGGCCATGAAGATTTGTATACCTTTGTTTACTTCTGAGTTCATATCTGAGAACCCATTGCTTAATCCAAAGCCTTGGAGAGATTTATATACCTTTGTTTACTTCTAAGAATTTTATACTCTTAGCTGATACATTTAGGCCTTTAATTTTTGAGTTAATTTTTGTATATGGGGTTGAGTAGGGGTCCAAATTCATTCATTTGCATGTAGACATCCAGCTGTTACAGGACCATTTGTTGAAAGGACTATTCCCATTGTTTTGATACCTTTGTTGAAAATCAGTTGGCTGTAGATGCTTGGATTTATTTCTGGACTTGCAATTTTATTCCATTGATCTATATGTCTATCCATGTGCCAGGGTCAAAGTGTCTTAAATACTATTTCTTTAAAGTAAGTTTTGAAAGTG